TGAGTGTATGCATATGTGTGTGTATGTGTATGTGCATGTATAAGACTGTGTGTGTGTGTGAGTATATGCATATGTGTGTATGTGTATGTGCATGTATGAGACTGTGTGTGTGTGTGTGTGAGTATATGCATATGTGTGTATGTGTATATGCATGTATGAGACTGTGTGTGTGTATGTGTGTTAGTATATGCATATGCGTGTGTATGTGAACGTGCATGTATGAGACAGTGTGTGTGTGAGTATATGCATATGTGTGTCTATGTGTATATGCATGTATGGGACAGTGTGTGTTTGCGAGTGTATGTACATGTGTGTGTATGTGTATGTGCATGTATGGGACTGTGTGTGTGTGTGAGTGTGAGTGAATGCATATGTATGTGTATGTACATGTATGAGACTGTGTGTGTGTGTGTGTATGAGTATATGCATATGTGTGTATGTGTATGTGCATGTATGAGACTGTGTGTGTGTGAGTGTATGCATATGTGTGTGTCTGTGTATGTGCATGTATGAGACTGTGTGTGTGTATTTGTGTGAGTATATGCATATGTGTGTGTATGTGTATGTGCATGTATGAGACAGTGTGTGTGTGCCAGAGTGTATGCATATGTGTGTGTATGTGTATGTATGAGACAGTGTGTGTGTGTGAGTGTATGCATATGTGTGTGTATGTGTATGTGCATGTATGAGACTGTATGTGTGTGAGTGTATGCATATGTGTATGTATGTGTATTTGCATGTATGAGACTGTGTGTGTGTGTGTGAGTTATGCATATGTGTGTGGATGTGTATGTGCATGTATGAGACAATGTGTGTGTGTGAGTGTATGCATATGTGTTGTGGATGTGCAAGACTCTGTGTTTGTGGGGGGAGTGACTGGGTGGAGAGGCAGGTGGTGGGGAAAGGGAGGAGCTGGTGGAGTTGAGTCATTTTGAGAGACATTATCTGAAATGCCCCCACCCATCCACAGAAGGCTCTCCCTTCAGGATCATCTCCCATGTCCCTCTTTCCACCTGGTCTGGCGGCAATGTCACAACCCCTTCTAATCACAGGCTCGGTCAGGCTGGACGCAAATCAATTTTAGGCTACATTAGAACACACGAACAGAGATGTACTGCTGAGGCTGTATGAGGCTCTGGTCAGACTGCATTTGGAATATTGTGAGCAGTTTTGGGCCCCGTATCTAAGGAGGGATGTGCTGGCCTTGGAGGGAGTCCAGAGGAGGTTTACAAGAATGATCCCAGGGATGAAAGGCTTGTCATATGAGGAGTGGTTGAGGACTCTTGGTCTGTACTGGATGGAGTTTAGGAGGATGAGGGGGTGGATCTGATTGAAACTTACAGAATACTGAGGGACATGGATAGAGCGGATGTGGAGATGATGTTTGCACCAGTGGGAGAGACTGGGACCTGAGGGAACAGCCTCAGGGTGAAGGGATGACCCTTTAGGACTGAGGCGAGGAGGAATTTCTTCAGCCAGAGGGGGATGAATCTGTGGAACCGATTGTCACAGAGGGGGCTGGGAAGGGCAGGTCAATGGTTGTATTTAAGACAGAGATAGATAGGCTCTTGATTGGGAAGCAGATGCCGAACTGTGACATGGGTGAGAAATGCGGGCACTTGACCCACAACATCCCCCACCCCCCGCTGCCTCGATCAGTACGATCCCAGCGAATCTGCTTCCTCTCGTCCCTCCCCTCCCTCCCCCCACCCCCACCAGTGCGCCCACGCCCCCCACCTCCTCCACTACTGCCACGAGGTCAGGGAGATTGCTCAATCGCGCAGTCTGTAATCGACTGGGTGACCCCCACCCACCCCCAACCTCACTCTTATCTGTGGTGGGGTGGGGGGGCGGGTGGTTGTGTGTGCGAGAATTCTGAAGGACGACCCTCCCCTCCCCTCCCTCCGAGACCCTCGGAGAGAAGAGTTATCCCATCAACTCCGAGCTGAAATGGAGGGCCTCAAGATCCTGAGAATGGTTTGTGGGGGGGGCGGGGGTCTCCGAAATGGGCAACTGCATGACCCTGGGGCAGGGGGAGCAAAGGGGGGTGTGTAAGGGTGGAGGAGAGGAGGGGAGGTAAACAGCTTCTCAACATATGCTCTCTCAAGTCCCCTCAGAATGGTCTATGTGAGGCTCCCTCAACCCAACGTTCACTTCCTCCAACTCCCTCCCCACCTCCCCCCCCTCACTCCTACCCCTCAGTGTCAAGCCCCCTCCCCCTTATTTCAGGGGTTTACCTTCATTTCCCCCCCCAAACTCTACTTTAAGTCTAAAATATTTGCCCCCTGTCCTCCATCGGCCCTCACTACGCCCTACCATCGCCCTCCCCTTCCCCTGTCATCAGGCACATCCTTCCTGTGGGAATGTTATCAGTTTCTATGAGACTCCCCCCTCCCGTTCTTCTCAACTCCAGGGAATATAATCCGAACTGATCCGGTCTCTCTTCATCTGTCCCTTCGCTGCTTCCCCTCCCATGGCCAGAACGTCCTTCTTCAGATAAGGAGACCCCAAGCTGAGCACACAGTCCGCCAGGGGTGGCTTCACCCCTGCAGTGAGACGTCCCTGCTCCTGTACCCTGACCCCCTTTGCCAGCAACGCCAACATACCCCTTCCCAACTTGACCACCCGCTGCTCCCGCGATGCCTACTTTCAGCAACAGATCTTTCTGGAGCACCCCTCTCCCAATCCATCTCCGTTCACAGGACGGCCGGCCTTCCGAAACCTCATTCCCGGAGTGGATAACCTGACGTTGATCCATGTTGCCTTTTGGGTGTAATATCCCTGTCTGGAGATGTGGTGCTGGGGGTTGGGGGGGCGCAGGTTCAGTCAGAGCCTTCGACCAGGGAATTGTCCAAGGAGTTGGAGAGAAACAGAGGGCAGGGAAAGGCAGGAGATTGGCGCTACGGGGATAGAACCAGTCCAGAAGGCTGAATGATCTCCGTGAGCACTGTGACAGAGCTCCAACTCTCTGCTTCCCCAAACATCGCATCAAATCCCACAGTTCAAAGCCCCATCACTTTTACAAACCCTCTCTACACTGTTACACAGGAAGGAGATGGAAATGTAAAGCATCCTCTACACTGTCCCGGCATCAAACACTCCCAGGACAGGGACAGCAAGGGGTTAGATACAGAGTAAAGCTCCATCTACACTGTCCCTCATCAAACACTCCCAGGGACAGGGACAGTACGGGGTTAGATACAGAGTAAATCTCCCTCTGCACTGTCCCCATCAAACACTCCCAGGACAGGGACAGCA